GCTGCAGCCCTGGCCAGGGAGCTGACCCACATGGCACAACAGACCTTTCCTGTCTCCTGCTGCTCCCCTCAGCAGTGTACTTCATTTTTTTGCCTGTTCTGCTCCCCACTCTATCTCTGGTGGATCTTCTCACTGACCCTGCACATCTGGCCTGTACCCCAGTTCTGTATGCATAAATAAATAAATCTTTTTTAAAAAAGAATTTGTAGAGCTTGAATTAGGAGGGTGAGAAAGGGAAAGGTAAAATTATTTCTTGGTTTCTGGTTTTTATAACTGTGTCAACCTATATCATGTATAATGTTAGAAGTAAGAAAGAGTAGTTAAATGCATACATAAGAGCTATATAATTTACCAAGATATTGGGTGTATTAGGGGGAAATTTTTTTCAACGTAAGATTATGTATAAAATTGTAGATACAGTTTGTGGAATGTTTGGTAATGCAAATGGGGATATTCAGTAAGTAGTTGAATATGGATATCCAGGAGACACATCTAGGATGAAGTATACATTTAAAATTTGGAAGTACGTAGGTGGGAGCTGAGATATGGGAGTTCATAGTATCACCCATGGTTAGCAAAAAAGTGGGGGGGGGGGTGTGGCAAGGCAACACAGAATTACTGGAAAGACTAACAGAAAATTAGCAGAGAAAAATGAGCTCATAAAGAGACAGAGAAGTAGTCAACAAGATGGGAGAAAAACTTTAGCACAATGTCACAGAGCTAAAAGAATTGATTCAAGAAGAAAGAGGAAGGGAATTGAATGGATTATCAAAAGGAGATTGTAAAAGTCAAGTAAAATGGACTGAAGTGTTACTAGATTGAGCAAAACTTTCACTTTCATAAATATAGTTTCAGAAAAGTAGTAGATCAAAGAGTAAACAGGGAATAGATTTATTGACAAGCTAGAATAGAATGTAATATAATCCCTCTGTTCCAAACACATAACAATGGTAGAATTTTTGAAACAGGAAAGAGAAATAACAATATGGGTGATGTAAACAGTAATATATTTTAATAAAAATAAAATTCAGGAGAAAGGAAATATTGGTCTCTAATAAAGAAGGAGGCAGTGGCAGTTGAAGAGTTTGACTTCTATAAATAGAAGAGACTAAAGTGTCCAACTCACAATGGGAAAATTAGTTTTTTGCTTAAAGCCCAGTACTATGTTGATATTATTCCACTCATGATAAAAAGCTGAAAATAGTGTTCATCTACTTCTGGGGCTACAGTTGAATAGAAACTCTGGGCTTAGAGAGATAGGAAGACAAAGTATCATGATTACAAATTCTCATAAACTTGCTTGTGGCTCAGTGATACTACCCACTATGGTAACACTAGCAACTTCACACATTACTGTAAGACCTGGTTTACAATTGGGGAGGGGTAATAGAGGGAAGACAAAACTACTGGGGAATAGGAAAGAAGAAGTACAGAGGTAAGAAAAGAAAGGAAAAACAAACCAAAATATCTTCCACTGAAAAACAAAATAGGCAACGATAAAACCAATAAAAAGAAAATTGAAAGAAATTCATATAAAAAGAGCAAGAAATACTTAAAACATAATATATAAAAATAAATATATATGAAATTAACTGATGCTAGAAAAGTTATAATGTGGAATACTATTCAGTCATTCAAAAGGATAGCCCATTTGCAGCAACATGTATGGACCATAAGCATATGATGCTAAGTGAGATAAATCAGACAGAAGTATTGCATGATAACATTTATATGTGGAATCTAAAAAAGTCCAACTCATTTAAAAAAGGAAATGGAATAGCTACTAGGGAATTGGGAAATAGGGATATAAGACTAATGTTTTAGGATATACATCTGTAATGAGAGGTAAATAAACCATAGTGATCAAGTAAATAGTATAATGTACATAAAAAACAATAGTATAACTATGTAATGTGATAAATACCGCTATAAATGCATCATATTGTAATATTTATAAGTGTCAACATCATACCTTGAACACCTTAAATTTACAGTGTTATTCATAAAATATACTCAATTAAAAAAATAGAACACTATCAGGGACAAAGCTACATATTTACAGACTAGAAATTCATTCAAAATACAAAAGTAGGGGGGAAAGATTAAATTTCAGAGAATTAAAATACAAGGAAGAGAAAACCAGAGGCTCCAATATGGATCCAAACAGATATTTTGGAAGAATAGAAACAATGATAAAGCATTATTTAAAAGTACTTTCTAGGGGCCTCTCTGATGACCTACAAGTTAAGTCTCAGTGTTACCACTGCAACGGCCTGAGTTTGATCCCCAGCCAGGGAGGTGACCCAAATAGTGCAGCAGACCTCTCCTGTTTTGCCTACTGCTCCCCTTAGCAGCAAATTTCAGTGGATCTGCCTGGTGAATGCTCTCACCCCACTCCAAAACCCTGTAACTCTGGCTTATTCCCCAGTTCCTTTATGCAAAAATAAAGAAATAGTTTTAAAAACTTGAAGATACTTTCTAGAATTGAAAAGAAACATGAGTTCTTGGACACAGGGTAGGATAAATATGACCAATATATACCTAAACATATAACTCTGAAAATTCAGAAGAATAAGGATAAAGATAAAGTCTTCAAAGATATGAGGACAAAAAGATGCATAAACTACCAATGAATTACAGTTAGATTGATAGCTTTCTTAGCATTCATACAATTTAAAAGATTGAAGTGAAGGCTTCAAAGTTCAAGTGGGACAGGAATAGCTGTTCATTGTTATTTTTAGGTAAATTGTTACTCAAAGTAAATATTCCAGGAATGTGAGGATGGTTCAATATACAACATTACTAACGTAAAAGAAATCAAATTTTATTATTATTGATATCTTATACATCATTTACATGATTTGTAGGGGGGAACACCCTAGTCCTGCTACTAAATGGAATAAATGAATTTCCTTATCTGGATACACACACTAAACCAAAATGGAAAGCAATCAACATACTTACCAAAGAAAATTTAAATATATTCCTTTTAATACAAGAGAAAGATACATCACTCTTAATATTAAACAAGGCACTAAAGGTTTTAGCAATATCATAGTAAGAAAAAATAAAGAAGGTATGTAAAAATCAAAAGAGAAAAGATTAAACTATGATTATTTGTAAATGACATAATCATCTGCCAAAATAACCCCAACAGAAGCAACAAACTATTAGAACCAATTAAAGAGTTCAACACCTTTATAGGCTAAAGTCTTAGCAAATACAATACTGTTCATACTGTTCTAGCTATCCATTTCTACACATCAAAGTACTCCTCTCGCACTCACGGCCAAAAATTAGTCTCTTAAAAACAAAAATAATTTTGTTAGAACTTACTATTTTGTAGCACAGGGCTCAGCTGGGCAAGTCATCTCTTTATATCATTGACTGGGTTCACTGGATTCAAATGGTGGGTGGTCTGATTTGTAGACAAGATGACTTTATTCTCATCCCTGATAAGATTTAAATGGCTGGAAGGCAGGGTTAAGTTGGTCTACTTCTTCAGAGGTAGCTTCCATATAAGTTAGCTGGACTTCTTATATGGTGGCTCAGGTATCCAAGGAGCTTTCCACAAAACAGGAAGTGGGTGTCTCCAGTATCTTAAGGCCTGGATCTGGAAACTTGCAGTTACTGCTGCCATTCTTTTGGTCAAAGCAGTTGGAGTAACTACATCCAAGGAGGAGACATACACCTCCACCTCTAGATGGCAGGAGTGTCAAAGAACCTGTGGCTACTTCTCTTCCACAGGAACTGTAAGTAGGGTTTAATATCTGAGTAACCTCTAAAATTTACAAGGGAGCAGTAGCTGGAATATATAAAGAACTCTTGCTAATCAAGAAAAGAACAGCTATTTAGAAAAACACAAGCAATTACTATATATATAGGAAACTTGTAAAGCAGAAAACAAAAATTAATATATACACAAATATTGAAAATCATTGATAGCCAGTGACACACCAGTCAAAATAGAAATAAGCTACCACTTTTAAAGGTTTTCCTCAGTATTGTATTAATGATGTTTGGGGTTAGATAATTCATTGTTGTGAATTATCTCTTTATATTGTAAAATGCTGAGCAACCCCCTTCCAGGCCTTTTCTTACTAGATGCCAATAGATATCTCAGATATATCTACAGCTGTAACTACTGTCACAATCAGAAATATTTTTAACAATGCCAATTATTTCCCGGGGCACAAAACTACCCCTGGGTGAGGTCCACTACTTTACACACTTATCAACTTGATAAAAAATAGAAAGCTGGTTAGTTCTAAAGTCAGAAGGAATATGGCAACATAGGAAACTTCAATATTACCAGTGTGTTTGAGGAAATTTGCTCCCAGCCAGGGAGGTGACCCACATGGCATAGCAGACCTCTCCTCTCTTGCCCACTGCTTCCTTCAGCAGTGTATTTTGGTCAATCCACCTGTTCTTTTCCTCTGCTCTGTCTCTGGTAAATACTCTCATTCCCCTGCCCCTTGGCCTATACCCCAATTCTTGTATGCATAAATAAATAAATCTTTTTTAAAAACCACAACTCAACCAGAAACAGCAGGTAGTTACATCAACATTATAAAGACCATACACCAAAACCCACAGATAATATCATACTCAATGGCACAAAACTGAAAGTCTTTCATTTAAGAGCACGAAGAGCATTTTCATTTAAATACACAAAAATGTGCACTTTTGTGACTTATACGGAATATATTATTGAAGTTCTGATCAGAGCAATTAGGTACTAAAAAGAAAAGCACTCAAGTTGGTGAAAAAAGAAATAGAATTAGGACCCTCCTTGGTGGCGCAGCGGGTTAAAGCGCTGCACTAAGAAGCTTAAGCCACTTCCGCATGAGTTCGATCCCTGCCTGCCCTGGAGGTGACCATATGGTGTGGCAGACCTCTCCTGACCTGCCCACTGCTCCTCTCAGCAGTGTACCTTGTCCATCTGCCTGTTCTGCTCCCCACTCTGTCTCCCTGGTGAATCCTCTCACCCTCCCCATCTCTGGCCTGTACCCCAGTTCTGTATGAATGAATAAATAAATCTTTAAAAAAAAAGAAATAGAATTAACTACTTATTGATAATTAAATACATGTAGAAAATCCTAAATAAAAAAACGCTAATAATTTAATTAAAAACCACCTAGTATATATAAATTCACCAATGTTTGCAGCAAATACAAAACCAACACACAAAAACCAGTTGCATTTCTCTAGACTAACAATCAATAAATCTGAAAAGAAATTAAGAAAACAATTCCAAAATAATCTTTATTCAAAAAGAATAGTTACCTTAATTATGCTAAGTCTGTCTTAATATCTAATATATCAAATCCTTTCATCTTGTTTTTCTTCAAAAGTGTCTGCTATTTTTAATCTTTTGCATTTCCATATGAATTTTAGACTTTGTAAAGTTCCACAAAAAGATACTATTAGGTTATTGATGGAAACCACACTGCACTGTTAGAACTTTAGAATTTGAGTTATTGTTTCTTATTAATTCTAGTAACTTGTTGGTGTGAGTCCCTGTGATACAAATACTGCTTTATAGGCAAATATTTTAAATTTGTTTTTTTATCTTATTATATTTCTTATTTCCATTTTTAATAATTATGGTAAAATATACATAACTTTCATTAGGTCACTAAAGCTACAAAGATAGTACACAGAAGGACATTAAAGATAACAGATTGCAGCAAAAAGCCCAGAAACATACCTAAATATACAGATAGCTAATACCATTTTACAATAAAATGGTACTGAAGAGTAGTGGAGAAAGTATGATTTTTCAGTAATTAATTGGTACATTCTATGTGCTGAAAATTTATATAGCCACACAGAAAATTGGAAATATTCCTGCATAATATATACATCATAAATTTCATACCTGTCTCTGTAACATAAAATAATGAGGGCTCAGGAGGTAATATGTGCTCAGGAGGATAATACATTACATTGTTATCATAATCAGGATATTTTTAAAAAGGAAAATACTAGTATGTTTAACAATATTAACACTGTTTCTTACCTGTATTGACTAACCCAAAACTATTCACCATCTCTTCTCAATGCCCTATCGGGTACCCTCTTTGAAAACCTACAAACAAATCAAGTCTTTATCCCAATCCCAGTAAGTAACCTACCCTAGCAGCCCTCTTCTGAATCACTGTCAAGATTGCACATCGAATTGATCTTCACTGCTACAGGTTTAACAATACAGTTTTATTTTTATTAACGAGTTTCTTTAATGATTTTGTGATAGATTAAAAAAATTAACAAGCCTTATCCCTTTGAGATATAAATTGAAATTTTATAGCTAAAATGACATAGTTTCTGAAGCATGCTCCAATGTTCAAAAAAAAAGGAGGAAAAAGTAGATAGGCGTAAATAAGATTGGCTAAAAATTGTTGAAGCTAGGAAAAATTGTTGAAGCTAGGGAATTCATTAAATTACCCTATTTTTGTATGACTTAAATTCTGTATAAAAAGTAATTTTTATACAGAAAATTAAGAGGAGGTGTTCACTAATGTCATAATAGTCAGACTGTGTGCTGGTGACCAGCTTCATATCTAGAAAACATGTGGCTAAATGTAACCCGAGTCATGATGGATTTGCAGTTCTGCACTGATGGAAGGAGAAAGAAAGCAAAGAGGTTGTAGATTTGAGTGGAGGGCACGCCACTCGGCTTTTTTCATTGCTCTATGCAATACTTAAACGGAGAACAAAAAGTAGATATAATTAAAATTGATATTTAAGTTTTTGTTAATTTTTTTAAAAAGGTAGACACCATTTTCTTTTGCTTTTTATTTGGAGATGTTTCTCAGCTAAATTTTTAGTTGTGCTTCTAGAATGCGCTCTCTCCTACATTCTACTCTCAAAAAATGAGCTTCTTATTCTTACTTATAATCTAGGACCCTGAAATTGACAGTTATTAGAATTCCGCACACAAAGCCACTGCTGTCCAATTTGAGGCTTTGAATAGCTAGCCATGTAAGTTGACTTTCCTGTGCATTTGTATTGAGGAGGATCCAGCTCAGGTTGATGTCCTGGGAACCAGTGAGGCTCTCGCTTAAATCCTGAGGGAAGAGAAAAGAGAGGGAAAGACAGATGACAAGGAATACTATCAATTGATCTCACAATTCTTTTAGAGGGGACAGGGAGTTCTATCAAAATTGAGGAGAGAGAAATTGTTCACTCATTCATTCACTTATTTACTCATTCAGTTTCCTTTTTTTTTTTTTTAATTTCTTTCTCTGTTCCAGACAGAGTTAGGTCCTGAGAACATAAGAATTAAGAAGAGAATGTCCACCTACTATGGGTTGAAATTGGCATTCTGCAGTTGTAGCTTGTACCATAAGTTGTTTCAAAGTAGTGTGCAAACTGGAGAGAAAAAGTAATAAATTAAAAATATAGGCATCTATAGCTAATATTAGGAAATACATACACTGACAAATTCTAACAGGCTCTGTCATGCCATATTTAGACTGGTTAGAGGTCTAGCTGTCATTTGCTTATATCCCTCCTGCTAACTTTCACTTTTTTTTTTATGTTTTTCTAGGAGAGATTTAATGGCAACAGGTAGATAACTGACAAGTCTAGGTAAGGGTCAGGGAAGAAGCCAGACTGAGGGAGAAGACATTATGCTTTTCTGTGGCTGAGTAAAGTCCAAACAGAATCAAGCTTAAAAATATAATATCCATGCTTTTGATACCTTCAGATAACATACTTTTCAATTTGAGAATAATGACAGAATAGGTGTTTTTCAGCTGAGCACTGCTGCCTTTCACAAACACTTCACTGAACTGACACCTGGTATTTCTTTTGCTAACAGAAGGAAACATTACCTGTGAAGGCAATGATTTAGGTTGCACAATATGTCTTAAATCATATCTTTCCTGGTTCCAGTTGCCCACTAGGGTGCGGTTAGAATAGGCATTCTCATTAGTAGTACATCTCCATCCATACTGAAAAAACTTGGACATATCATTCCAATCTGTCCAAACTTCACCATGGCCATCTGCATTAATGAGGCTGCCACAGTGTGGGTGTACAAGGTAGTAGACCAGGGACTGTAGCTGGGAAAAGGCAAGAAGCAAAAACTTTGTTGAATAAACCAGAGAACAGAAAAGTGTCTATTTTCTTACCTTCAATCAAGCACATCACAAATGCTTCTTATTAAGGATCTAGGATTTCCTCCCATTTTAATCATGGCTGCTTCTTTTTCTCCAGATTCATGAATACTTTGACCTCTCCTGTGGGTCAACTGAAGCAAATTACTATATAAATTACATGTCCTGGGCCCTCAGTGGTGGCACAACAGGTAAAAGCACAGAACTGCACAGCTGGCCACAGCTACTTCGGTGAGAGTTCGATCCTCACCCTGGAGGTGACCCACATGGCGCAGCAGACCTCTCCTGTCTCGCTTGCTGCTCCCCTCAGCAGTGTATTTCATCAAACTGCCTGTACTGCTCCCCACTCTGACTCTGGTGAATCTTCTCACTGCCCCTGGACCTCTGACCTGTACCCCAGTTCTGTATGCATAAATAAACAAATCTTTTTTAAAAAAAGATAAATTACATGTCCCCTCCCTACTTCCCCCAAAGACTGCAAAACTCCCACTACTCTATGGAAAATTAAATGTTTCGCTGATTTTGAGATGCGGGAATTTAAGAACTGGGAGTTCTATAGTCTATAGGAAAAGGGAGGTCTGGATAACTAGATAGTACAATAAGTGATCAACAAATAGTTTCCTTCCTTGTAGGCCCCACTCAAATGCTACTTCTTCTAAGATGTCTTTCCTCCAGTTAATTGGAGTAGATATAATTAACTTGTCTCACACAGAACTTTGCTTTTGTCTTTCTATATTTATAAATTTCTATCATGCTTAAATATGTCAAATATCCTGTACTGAACTGTATTCCTTTTGAAGATAGGATCTGTGTTTTATTAATTATCAAAGTCTCTATTTATGCCCACTCTTCCTATCAACAAGCAGTGCGCTACATATATCAGGTGATCATTTTCACTTGAATTTCAGTTTTTTTTTTTTAGGAATCAAAAGTCTAAACATTTTTATTTTTTGCCAAAATGTGAGTCTTCTTTTGGCTTAGGAGCAAGACAATACCTTCTCTGTAGAAGAGCAATCTGATGTTGAGGTGCTTAGGCTGAACGTAGACGGTTTTAGAGAAGAAAGACAGAAAACCTTACTCAGCTGTTCCATGTTCTTTAAAGGAAGAGATATCACCAAGTAGTTCTTCAAGCAAAGAGAATGTAGACCACCCAGATCGCCAAGGACAAGTGGACATGGTATGAGAGTCACCACGCACCCACAGTAGGGACAAAACCCTACTGTAGTTGTACAGGTAACTATGCTCACTTCATGTGTCTTTGTGATGAGAGATGCATGGACTGATGTCAACAAACAGCTTATGACTAAAGCTTAGCTGGGGCCACAAAGTCCAACAGTGACACCATCTACCCAGTGCTTAGCTCAAAAGCTAGGGCTTAGCTTTAAGTCTGAGTTCTCTTTCAACCCTTTCTATCTAGCCAAGCACTAGGTCACTCCACTACCTTTAATCACTCCACTACCTTGCATCCCACTGCCAACGTCCAATCCAGATTACTATCAGTCCTCATCTCCATTCTGTAGCTCCCTATCTGATCCCCTTGTCATCAGCCTTGTTTTCCAATCTTTTCTCCATTAAGGCAGAACTTTTGAAAATGAAAATCAGATTGTATAATTTTCCTGATATAAATCTTTCAGTGGCCATTGTGTTCACAACAAAGTTCAGGCTGTTAAATTGGCTCACAACACTTTCTACCACATGCCTCCTGCTTAGTTCTTCAGTCTAATCCCGCACCCACTCTCCCTCCAACTGCATTTCAGCTCAGCTCAACTGTTCGGTTTGTCCATCAGGTTTTTTTTCCATTGTTCCAGACACCTATTGACACAGGTAAGACGTACCCCTCATTCCTACTGACACAGGTAAGATGTACCCCTCTCCCCCAACCCCACTCCTTAGTTTTCAACTAAGGTGTACTTCACCCAGTTTTCTACTTCACCTCAAAGCTGGGAATGTTCCCATTCTGTGTGTTCCCCAGCACCCTAAATGACTCCGTTCATAGCCCCCATCCCTCCACACCAGAATGCGTCTTCAGCTGTGCACTCGCCACCTCACTACAGCTCAGAGAAATCATGGGCACATCTTGTTCAGCCCATCTCTCACTTCAGTCATGGTGGTCTGGTACACGACAGGCACTCGATATTTCTGAACGAATAAAAGGAGATAAATGCACCTGAAGACATTCCGAGTCGGAATGAGAACGGGCGGTGGCAGCCATTTCGGCAAGATGAAAGGCTGCTACACAATCCTCTGTGACAGGAACATGCAAGACAGCCCAATCTCTCCTTGGCCTCAGCCGCGCCTGGCTTCTATCATCCAGACTTCGCCTCACCTTCCACCTTGGCCCTCTGCGCTAGTAATTGCTTGTGACCTCATGCGGAGTGACCAAGTCGTTCAGGGTGACTCTTGGATTAAATGACACTTATTTTCACCTTCCCGAGGGGTTGAGGGAGAGGGGAGTAGGGACAGGGTGACAGGTGTGTGTACCTCACGTACTCATGGCTACTTTCCTCCCCGGAAGTCGCTACACTAGCTTGTCAGATAACGCGGCACTGGGAGAACGTCACCAACCAGCGACGCGCGAAGGAAGGCGGGAGAAACTTGCTGAGGAAGTGACGTAAAAAGAGCGCCTCCAAGCAGGCCCGCAAAGTGAGTCCATGGGCCCGCGGCGCCTCCTGTTGGTTGGGGAGGGGAATTTCTCCTTCGCCGCCGCTCTGAGCAGGACTTTGGATCTGAACACTAGTCTGACGGCCACCTGTCTCCAGCGCCCGGCCGAGGACCTGGTGACCCAAGAGAATTTGGAGCGCCTGCGTAAGAGAGGTAGAGAGCTGGCGGTGCTCCGTCCCTCCGCGAAGCCACGCCCCCGGCGTGTCCCCGCACCTACTGGAAGCCACGCCCCTCGCTGTGTCCCCGCCCCTCCACGAAGCCATCTGCCCACTCGACCCGACGTGGTAGGGTAAAGCATGTAAGACCCTGGCGAGGTTATTGCTCTTTATCACCCCACCGACCCTTACAGAAAGCCAACTGTTTCCTACACCGGGGTATTTTTGCACAGTTCCGGTCATAGCGAGGTTTTCTCTAATTCCAGGCCTTAAGACATCCTCCTGTCTACGTTTAATCCCAGGTGCCGTGATACGTTTTGGTGTAGACTGTACCGAGCTGGCAGATGCCTTTGAGCCGCACGACAGGGATTTCGATCGAATTTATTTTAACTTTCCCCACTGTGGACGCAAAGCTGGCGTAGCTAAGAACAGGGAACTGCTTGCCAAATTTTTTCAGAGGTGAGAAATGGTGAGCACTCACTAGTAAAATGCTTAAGACGTACATTACGTGCTTACTGTACTCAAATATGTTAGCTAGGTATCTACCCAAAAGACACAAAAACACTCATTGAAAAAGATACTTGTACCCCCATGTTTATTGCTGCTTTATTTACAATTGGAAAAACATGCCCAAATGCCCAAAAGTAGATGACTGGATTAGAAAGATGTGGTACATATATACAATGGAATATTACTCAGCAACCAAAAAAGAGAAACACATGTCTTTTGCTGCAACTTGGATGGAGCTGGAAAAGATCATGCTGAGTGAGATAAGCCAGAAAGAGAAACAAATATGTTAGTATGGGGATTAAAGCATATGTTTAAGTTAATATGATCGGTTTAGAGAATGCAAAGCTCCAAAAGAGCCTACAATATAGTTGGAAAGGCAGACATAAAACCCTAAATGCTAAATGAAAGTCCAAACAATGTGTTCTTGAGTGTGTAAAAGGAGGTAGCAAAATACTGGTAGCCTGGATCGTCTAATTGATAAAAACATGAAATTTGGAACCAAACTACATGTATTCATATTCCTACTCACCACTTAGGAGTTGTGTGACTTTAGGTAAACTCATTTAACCCTTAGGTGCTTTTGTTTCCTCATCTAGAAACTAAGAATATTAACTATCTCACAAAATTATTATGAACTGAAAATATGCTTCTTTTATAACAAAATAGGTGATACCATTGGAGGTTTCTGTGGATCATAGTTATGAAGAAACTTTACAGAGGCAATATTTTTAGTATTCAAATATAGAATTTTAGTAAGCAGGAGTGAAGAGAACTTTCTGAACTGAGAATTACCTGATCAGTGAAGTATGTTTAGAAACTCTACAGACATTGACCTTTCTATGACATTGTTGAATAATGCAAATATAAAGCTGGATAAAACCCTGATCAGGCAGTGGTGTCAGTTATAAGAATATTAAATGTACACTCCCGTTTACTTACAGATTCTTTCTTTGCATGTTTAAATTCTAATGGACCTTTCCAAATAGGTGTGATTTGGTTTTAATGACTTCACAGCTAAACCATGTGTATATGGCTAATGGCAAATTTTACTTGTTTCTTTTAAGTGATTGATATTGCTCTACCCCTACTAGCTGTGCAGATGTTCTTGCAGAGGAAGGAGAAGTTCATGTGGCATTGTGTAGAGGACAAGGTGGGACTCCTGCTGATAAGCCCAGAAGAGAATGGCACAACAGTTGGCAAGTGGTTGCTATGGCCGCTCTAGGGGGATTCATTTTAAGTGACGTGCATCCCTTCAGCTGTCAGACTGTGCCAGGCTACAAGTGCACCGGATATAGGTAAGTAATAATGTTGGTCTCGGTCTTCTCATTTTTATCTCTCTTACTAGTGATAAAAAACAATTGCATTGGTAAACATTTCCTCTGCCAGTTTCCTGATACAGTCTCTAGAAATACTTGCTTTATTTAACAATGACAAACTTCACAACTGGGTTCTGTTTTGCCAGGAGTCAAGATAAATCCTTTCATGTAGAAGGTGCTTTGAACTATATCTTCACACGTAGCTTACCCTTCCAAGGTTTACAGCCCAGAATCTTCAGGCTCAAAGTGGGTGATCAGTGGTTTTCCTTCCTTGAACCAGAAGCTCTTGTTGGAAAATTGAACAGGTAACCTGTAATTTTACCAGAAATCACTTCTCTCTCTAGTTGTACCCTCATTGGCTTGATAGCAACTATATATTGAATGGATAGTATATAAATTGCTAATAGTGTTAGTGCCATGTGTATTTGACAGTCTGATGTAAAAAAATATTTATAATTGAACATGTCTTATTTTCTGGCATGTTGTTGGAACGATAGCTGTCAGAGTTCTGAAATATCTGGTATCTGTTTATGATACGTGACTTCTTTCAGGATCAGTTTAAAAATAATACTTTTCTATATAGCCATTTGTAATTTTAACTCTATATATTATAATTTTTTCAAATCAGAAATGTTATTGTGTGTGTGTGTGTGTGTGTGTTTAAACAGGGATTTTCTGGAAGCACCTTCATGTCATCCTATCAAAACCATAAATGAGAAACTCATTGCTGAATTGGGCAAGGCTTTCCCTCTAAAAAGACTGAAATGTTCCTTTCCTTTGTTGCTGCTGGGAGGCAACCATGTTCCCACTCCCTGGGATTGTGACATTCTCTCAGCTGCCTTCTGGATTAGTCTCTGTGAAGATAACTCAAATTCCATGTTCCTAACTGGTGGGATAGAACAAGACATGAAGGACTTTGTGATGTCATTTTCAGAACTTAGTCTTTCCAAGACTCCTGGAAGAGACAGTGAGGGAGAAGCTCATGACGGACACTGTGGCCAAGCTAAAGTCTGCCTTAGACCTTCTCTCCTTGTTCATGTTCAGGATGTCATCCAAGCACCAGACTTCCTCCCAGGTTCTCTGCACATCCTCAGTGGACCTGTCTTTCGGAAATGTCCTATCTTGCCTTTTACAATGCCAGCACTTCACGAGACCTTATTTATTCTTGGATTTAATGAAAATCTGAAGGATGACTATCTTCAATCACTACTGGGTCATCTGAAGAATATTCTAGATAGTCTCCTGCCCCAGACATTGTTGGGAGGCTCTAAGCTGAGCAGTTCAGTGGAATTAGTCTTTCAACCAGATGAGAAAGGTTTTGTGATCAGTGTGAAGTCTCATCATTTTGCCCCAGATTGTGTCGAGGATTTGACTATTGGGTCTGTCACCACATCTGCTATAAGCCTTATACACAAAGACCAGGGTTTTGTGTTTGTATCTATAAACTTGGACCTATTAGCCATGCTTGTCTGGGGTATCTCTGACTGGAGAATGTTGTGGACCTTTGATAACCGTTTTGTAAAGCATTTTGTCCCTGGGAAAATTGAGCCTTTTAAAACCTATTCCCTCTACCCTCCATGCTATGTGCATGATATTAGTTTTTGGTTGGATGAGGAAAAAGGATTTGATGAACTAGAGTTTCATACTGTGGCCCGGGCAGTGTCACAGGACACTGTTATATCCATTCAATTCCTTAGTCGTTTTCAGCATCCAAAGACTGACCGGATTAGTCTTTGCTACAGAATGACCTATCAGACCTGTGACAAGGCCCTCACCCAGCAGCAGGTAGCGTCAATGCAGTCCCAGTTTAGGAAAGAGATTCAACAGCGATTACATGTGATACCTCGCTAGTAGTATAAATTCATTTTTACAGTGGGAGTTTCATGGTGTGAACAAAATCCACCAATGTATAACCAAGACTTTTCTAAAATGCTTGTTGTTTTAACTCTTACTTTGTGATTCTAACCACTGCCTGTTGACTCTAAATGTGATACTTAGACTTACAGATCATAATGTGATCAAAATATCTTGTACTGTAGCTGCTCCATTGCTGAAGAGGCAGTAGGACTTTGGTGTCTCACCATATATATATATAAGACACACATATATATATATACACATATACATACATATATATATATACACATATTTTTCCTATATATATATATACATATTTCTCCTGCTCTATTGTGTCATCTCACTAAATGAATTTCAGGTAGTCAGATAAGTGGCAAGTGCTTCATAATTAGTATTACCACTTTTATTACTGGTTAATTACTGTAAGTCATGGAATTAATAAGTCAGATTTAGAGTTCACAGTTGGGTCTGTCTGACTCTAAAGCCCATGTTCTTTCTTCCACTTTCTGTTACTTTTCCTTTCCTACTTCTCAACTGTGCTTAACTCTAAATTCCGCCTCCCTACCCATCTGCCTCTTCATTAGATTTGAAGGGGGACAGGGGCTAACACTGGGAGACCTGATCTTCCCAGGACGCTGCAGAGTGGGGTGTGCTAATGTGAATTAACATATCTTCCTGTTAATTAAAAGCTAAGACTCCATAGATTGAAACTATATTGTAAACTATGTGAAGGAAAAGAACTGTTATATTTATTCCTGTATTTGAAAAGAAGCATACAGGAAGGCAAGATAAGAAGGGATGTGATAAAAGAAACAAATTAGGAGGATATCACGGTCATCCAAGTAAGAGATAATGGTGACCTGAAACAGCTTGGTAAATTGTTAGATTGGGTAACGCTTAGAAAGATTTGCTGTGAATTAAATACATATGCATGGGTAAAATGAATGGTGTAAGAGCAAAAGAGGAATCAAATAGGACCCCTGCATTCTTATATTATGCTACTGAAAGAATAGGAGTGACGTTAACTGGAATGAAAGACTGGTATAGAAGTTAGTTTGGGGAGTGCAGTAAAGAAACAAAGGTCCTCTTGTGGACATATGTATTGCTTAGCTCTCCATGTAAACTGAGGACAGTTAATATAATTTATAACTTTCATTTATTCCAGTAGTATCTATATGTGGGTAAGGTATTATTTGAGTTGGCTCTTAAAATGTGACAGAGGATTGTCAAACAAGGAGACTATGCATTCCAGGCAAAGGGCTTATTTGAAAAGAGGTACAGATATTTGAAAAGAGGGGGTATTTGGGACACTTTTTCATGTTAGTTGGAATCTAACGTGTTTAGGAAAGTAGTGGGAGATAAAATTGAAGTACATTGAAATTATAATGCCATACACTTAAAACTTAAGTTTTAAGCCAATGTTACCTTAATAAAGTTTGATATGAAAAAAAGTTTGGGCCCTCCCTGGTGGAGAAGTAGGTTAAAGCGCAGCACTGTGAAGCTAACTGCAGCTGCTTCAGCATGAGTTCTATCCCTGACAGGTAGGTGACCCCCATGGCGTGACAGACCTCTCCTGTTTCGCCTGCTGCTCTCCTCAGCAGAGTACTACCTATTCTACCCCCTTCTCTGTCTCTGGTGAAATCTCTCACCACCCCTGCACCTCTGGCCTATATCCCAGTTCTGTATGCATAAATAAATCTTAAAAAAAAAAAAAGGCATTTTGGGGCCCTCCCTGGTGGTGCAGCGGGTTAAAGCACAGCACTGAGAAGCTGGAGCCACTTCGGCATGAGTTCAGTCCTGGGCCTGGAGGTGATCCTCACGGAGTGGCAGCCCTTTTCTGACCTGCCTGCTGTTCCCTTCAGCAGTGTACTTCGTAGGTTGGCCTGTCCTGCTCCCCACTCTGTCTCTGGTGAATCCTCTCACTGCCCCCACACTTCTGACCTGTGCCCCAGTTCTGTATGCATAAATAAATAAATCTTAAAAAGTTTGGGACTGGAGTTCATATAAAATAATTCAGTTCTTGCCATGAAAGACTATATATGTTAGAATAAGTACTTTGCGCTTAATTAGGCAGACAATAAAAAAAACCTGTTGATTTTAAGCAACACAGAATAATACTTTTGAAAAGTTAATTGGACACTTGCTCAGGGTGAATTTGAGGTGGGAGACAACCAATAGCAATCTTTAGTAGAGGCAGGGAGGGAGTTATTGGAAAAGAGATGTCTGTATAGGATGTAGCTCATGAGGGATGCATGGTAATGTAATTGCATGTGACAACCAAGCAGTGTGCTCAATCTCTATTTTCAATATTTGGCATTTTTAGTACTAACTTCATAACTTGGGGGTCTGCCAAGTTATAAACATGTTTAAGTTATGGATACAGACCTCCTCAGGGTAGGTAGAGTTCTCTGGGGAAGTGTGCAGAACACCAGAACACATGAATGACCCTAATTGTCACAGGTATATGATCATCAAGGTGTCTGTATAAAAAGTCTTGTATTGGGGGTGGGGGAGAAGTGCACTGGACTATGGTGATGGCACATGGGTGATTTGGTGATGGGAAGCCCACGGGGATTACAACTGCGATGGAAAAAGGCACAAAATGATGTAAAAATAAACATTATTAAAAAAAAAAGGCTTGTATGAAATCATTTTTCTGGATCTGGTGGAAAAAGCATGGATTTTATGTAGTGAAGTAGACCTGAATCGAAATACAGCTCCCCATATACTGGCTAGGCAGCTTTGGGTCTCAGTTTCCTTTTCTATAAAATAATACTGTTAAATTTTACAAGGATAAATGTGTAAAATGTATGCCAGAATGCCTAAGTAGCAATGGCAGTGACTGGTGTTTGGTTAAATCTGCTGCACAAATTCCTTGGTTTCCACCTTCCTTTCATTCTGCCGTTAATGCGTTGTCTGTCCCTAGAACTAGTTAGCTATAGGGTGTACGTTGTCTTTCTGCCACTCTCACCAAATACGGAGAGGCCAGGTATCGGCGACCTCTGGGGACCGCCCCTCTGGTAAGCAGCTGTGCTGTCATACTGAAGTGAATGTCTCTGCTGACTCACTCAGCGTTATTTAATCAAAAGGAACGGAGAACGGGTTTTGTGATGAGAGTGGAGAATGCTGAAAAGTTGAGAGTTGGAGGGAGGGAGGAATGCCCAATTACAAGCAAGTGGAAGGGAAGACTTTGGTGTTGAAAATCAAGTCTCAGATTTCCTTTCTTGCAGACTCAGAGATTTGCCCCATTGGCCCAGTAACATAATTCAGCCTTTTCTGCGCATGTCAAGGTCTTTTGTCCCTCGGCGGACACCGTTTGGCAACCAAAGCAATGTCTGCGCGCTCTCTGCCTTCCTAGGGTGCCGGATTCTACTCTTTCCTCTCGCGCCTGCCATGGTCAGCCGAGGGGCTCGGCAGCGCCTGAAGGGCAGCGGGGGCAGCGGCGGGGACACGGCTTCGGCGGCGGACAAGCTGCGGGAGCTGCTGTGCAGCCGGGAGGCGGGCAGCGGGGAGCCCCGGACTGAGTACGTGTGCGGGCGCGGCGGGGGCGTGGCCGGCGGGCACCGCGCGGGGCGCCCGGGAGGGTCTCGGCCCCGCAGCGCGGACCTTTCCGCCGCAGGGGCCGCTTTCACCCGCGTCCTCCTGCGCGGCGGGTCGGCGTGCGGTTTCCGCTCCGCCTTAAATCCCGCTGCTTGCGGGCCTGGCTTCTGGCAGGGGAACCTTGGGGTGCGGGTCTTTGAGGCTCCAGGTCCTGGCCCAGGACGGCGTTTGGTGTTTGAACGGGCTGGAGGCGTTGACGAGAGCAAAGATATATATATACTTTTGCTGGCTGTTTTTCGCAGCTTCTTTCTTGCAAAGTCCTGTCCCTTTGCCGTTTTGCCGTTTTGCCGTTTTGCCGTTGTGAGTCCCACAACCTCTTTGCACCACCTGCAACCTCGGCTCTCCGCAAGCCCGGGGTTCCGGAGATTAGACAGCGTTAAAAGAGCTGTCAGTTTGTGGAACTGGAGGAGCAAAGTGTACCTTGCGCATACTGGGTCTCGATGCTCTTGAACAGATGGGGAGATGATTAAAACCACGGAAAGAAATGGCTTTCTTAAATTGAGAAAGAAAAGGGGGAAATGAAAACTTCATGGGCTTAACATGAGTGATTAGTTTCCTTGAGATAGGGGAGTGTCAGAGGCAGTGAACTAAAGTGTGTGAGTTAGACCTGAAAGCAAGAAATGGAAGGAGTTAATGATTAAAGGTGATTAAGTTCTTGATTTTCTTATTTGCTCTACTCAGAATTACTCGTGGTTCACCTTTTTAGTTGAATAACCATCCCTTGCCATTTTTGTCCTTTCTGTCTAGTTTTAGTTCTGGCTAACAAATCTTCCTGGTACATACTTTTTTGGTGTTTTTTCTTCTGAGCAGATTGTCAGGGAACAAGGCAGGACAAGTCTGGGCGCCCGAAGGATCTACTGCTTTCAAATGTCTGCTCTCAGCAAGGTTATGTGCTGCTCTCCTAAGCAACATCTCTGACTGTGATGAAACATTCAACTACTGGGAACCAGTAGGTGATTTCTTTAGTCCTCTTTTTTTGTTCTCGATTTCTCTATTTGGGACCTTGTTATCAATCAAGATACAAGTAATACACGAATGTGACTAGTTAAGTAACATTATTTTCACTTTTGTTTTCTAAACTGATGATAAACCTACTGTTGGGGACTGTAGTTAATTGGTTACAAAAAGATATAATTTGTTATTACAATTTTTAAAATCAAAGTATTTTTTAAAGTTAACAAATGCTGCAAAGCTTGAAGGAAAAATAGTAACTCCTGGTTCCACTTCTCAGGTTCAGATTCGACTCCACAGAAGCAACCATTTTCTTTGAACTTCCAAAGCTGTTTTTTCTGATGGTTACTAAAATAAACATCATTGCTAAGTAGTATATTTATACTATTTCTTGATTCATATATTTATAATGTTGTAACTGCTCTGGTATAGAAAATTCATAAGTAAAATGTTCTGATCACACTTTGCATCAAAGAAGAATAGTGTAGACAATTTAAGGAAAACATAAGACAGTTTCTCTGTTTTGGCCAATAAGAATGAAAACAAACAAACAAACAAAATAAATAAATAAATAGAGGTTAATATTGACCAAACAACAATCTTATAGAATTTAGAATGTTCTAGAATTTAGAATATTAGACTTTTGAATGTCATTTTAATTTTAACCTATTAT